TATTAGGGTCAGTCCGTTACTGCAAAAAATTGAGTTGGCTAGGAAATGAGTATCCAGCAATCATCTCTCCATTATGCTGGCCAGAATACATTTCAGAACTAAAGTTGCACCATTCAAGAAATGTATGTTTGCTGATGAGATTTTAAAGAAAACCACACTTTGTGTCACCCTGGTCTAGTGCTTCAATCATGTCCAGAATCTCTTCTTCATTATAAGCCTGTGTTCTCCAAGTATCATTTTCCCTCCTGTGATTTATTTAAAGGTATATTTCTGGCTCTTTAACTCAGTTTTATGAACTTCTTGTTTTGCATGTTGAATAGGATGTTGGATTTGGGGGAAGGAGATGAAGATGGAAGTGAGATCAGTATCTCATCTGTGTAAAATGTCAAGCAGAACGTTAGACATTTGGCTAGAGGTGAAATACAGGACTCAGCTCAGAATCTGGCATATATCCACCTCCCTCAAGAAATAATAGTAAAATATCCCGATAAGAGACCTGCTCAGGTGCCCACTCTGTTGTGTAGCTGTAAGAGTTAGTTTTAACTCTACACTGAAATCTCTGTGGAACTCATCTGGGCACCACATCATTATATTAATCACACTGGCTGCTGCAACAAATAAGCCTCTCAATTGCAGTGGCTTTGCACCCTATTCATTTTTTTTCACTCTTATTCAACAATGCAATGTAGTTTTGAGTAAGGAGGCCCAGACTGAGGGAAGCTTAGTTATTTTCAAGGTCACCTGGATGTGAGTGTCCAGATTGCAGAAAGCAAAAGAGATTGAAGGATTGCATGTGAGAAGTTTTTATGGGCCAGAGCCTGGAAATTACAGATATCATCCTGTTGCTCTTGCATTGTCTAGCACTCAGGCATGCGGTCATTCCTAATTGCAGTAGAGAATTGGGAAATGCAAGTAATTGGGTCCCCAAAGAGTGCCTACTAAGCTGGGTTGAAGGATGGAGGTGAATTTCCTGCTTGTATTGGAGAGTATGTCTTATATAATCTGCTGGTACAGATAAAATGAATTGTTTTTCTTTAGTCATTGATTCTGTTTCAGAAATCATTTGGTAATTGAAATGGAGGGAAACATTTTATTTTCTTTATCTAATACAACAAACATACTGAAAATGGTAGAAAAACCAAGTATTTGAAGGCTTTCCTATTAACTTGCTAGAAATGCTTTCTATTAGGAGATACTGCAGTTTTCTTTCCCATCTGGCAGATGACTTTTTTAAATTAAATTTATTGGAATGACATTGGTAATAAAATAATATAGGTGTCAAGTGTACAATTCAGTAATTTCATCATCTGTATTTTGCATTGTGTGTTCACCACCCAAAGTCAAATCTTCCATCACCATATATTTGACCCCCGCCCCTTTTCCCTCTGGTAGCCACTAAACTGTTGTCTGTGTCTATAAGTTTTTTGTTTATTTGTCTTGTTCATTTGTTTTCAGTTTTATATCCCACATGAGTGAAATAATGGTTCTAGACTTTCTCTGTCTGACTTATTTTGCTTAGTGTGGTTATCTCCATCTATGTTGTTGCAAATGGCAATATTTTATCTTTTCTTATGGCTGAGTAATATTCTTTTCTATATATATATACATATACACCATATCGTCTTTATCACATAATTTATTGAAAGACACTTTGGTTGTTTCCTTGTCTTGGCCATCATGAATAATGCTGCAATGAACATTGGAGTGCATATATCTACAGAATTATGCTTTCAAATTTTTGGAGTAGATACCCAAAAGGACGATTGCTGGGTCCTATATGGTAATTTTATTCTTAATTTTCTGAGGAGCCTCCATACTGTTTTCCACAGTGGCTGTAACAGTTTACATTCTATTCTTAATTTTCTGAGTTACCTCCATACTGTTTTCCATAGCATCTATACCAATTTACATTCCCACCAGCAGTATATAAGGGTTCTTTTTCCCCCTACAACCTCTGCAACACTTGTTATTACTTGTCTTGTTGATAATAGCCATTTTAACAGGTGCGAACTGGTATCTCATTGTGATTTTGATTTGCATTTCTCTAATAGCTAGGAAATTCGAGCATTTTTTCCACATCTGTTGGTCGTTTATATGTCTTCTTAGGAGAAATGTCTGTTCAAGTCATCTGCCCATTTTTTTAATTGGATTGTTTTGTTGTTGTTGTTGAGTCCTATGAATTCTTCATATATTTTAAATATTAACCCCTTATTGGAGGCTTTTTTTGCAAATATCTTCTCCCATTTAGATGGTTGCCTCTTTATTTTGTCAAGTTTCTTTTGCTGTGCACAAGCTTTTGAGTTTGATATAGTCTCATTCATTTATTTTTACTTTTACTTTCCTTGCCTTTGAGTCTGGCAGACTACTTTTGCGAAATACCTTCTCTGTGAAATTCCCCTGAGCCTCTTTGTTCTGTTCCTGCCTCCCCAGACACAGTTAGCAGTTGCATTGTCAGTGTTCTGCCAGAACTTGAGCATACCTATGTTAATTTAATTTGTTCACATACTCATTCAAGCACTTACAATGCAAAAAAGAAAAAGTTGAAATTTACTGTGACAGAATTACATACTCAATAGCACAAGGACATAGAGAAAAGGCACTTTGCTCTTCCCTGGGGATAAGGGCGAAATGGGGCACGCTTCTTTTAGAGAAAGGAAGTTTAATCCAAGTCTCTTTAATTACCCATGGATACTTTCCCTCCCTCAGACAATAACGTTTACGAGGAAGCCTGTTTTGATAATCTCTAACTCTAGCACCTGGTATGGCACCAGGCTCTTACTAGATACTCAGTGAACTAAATTGACTGAATGAAGCTATGCCAACAAATTTATGTTACTACACAATTTTCTATACATTATCTCATGCATTTTCACAACAGCTCTGTGATAGGGCAGATATTTTTATTTCTGGTCTACAGGAAATGAACCCAAATTCAGAGAGATTTATTGTTTTGTCAGTGTCGCACGGTAGGTTAGTAGAATAGATCTCAGGTGTTCTATACCTAATCTTGTGTATTTTTCATTCTTGGAAAGAATTTAAGTATGAAAATGCTTCTCTGAAATTTGTAGTATGTGCTTTGAGGATGAGACTCAGACCGCTTGAATCTCTGAATGATGAAAGCTGTTGCTTTACACTGAGACAAACAAGAATGTTCTTTTTAACAGAAACAAAGAGGTGGTTCTTCCACCCTATTTTATAACTGTTTATACTCCTGCCAGCACAGTATTTTGCATCCAGTAGTTACTCTGTAAATATTTCTTAAATAATTGACAGTGTTTTAAAACGTATAATTCAGATTCACCTAAATTGGAGAAGCTTCCTGTTAGAGGCTGTCATAAGCTTTTACCTATAATCACTGTGTCACAGGGTTCAAAATTTGACTGTGGTATAGTCTAATTCAAGGAATGCTTTTTTTCTTTTTTTAAATTCAAGAAATTTTTAACAGACTAGCTTAATTTCTGGTTTTCTTTGGCTCCTTCATTCTTCTAGCACTTACACCCTCAGAGTCTGTCCAAGAATACTATCTAGAAGCTGAGACTGGCTGGATGTTTTTACCACAGTAGATTGAGATGCTTTAGAATGGACTTGGTTTAGTGTCTTTTGAAGCTTTAAAAATCTTGAACTTCCATAGAATTAGAATTTATAATAGACATTTATTGCTTTCATCTCTGACTTATCTAACTTCACACATTGAGGTATCAGTGTTGTCTACAGAAATATTGTAACCTGGTGCCTCACTTAGTAGAATTGCAGCTGACTAATGATAAAGGCGTAGCTTATAGAAGTATAAAATTACACATTTCCACATAGGTATTCTGATTAACTTCAAACTTACATGCCCGGAGACAGACTCATTTTGTACCTTCCACTCTTTTCCTGCTCCCCGCTCTCCCACCCATTGCCATTTGCTACCCATCTTAGGTAGTGGCAAGCTCCAAACCATGATAACATGCTGACTGCTTGCTCCGTTCCTTCATACTACCCATCTGGTTCATGTTCATGCCATGTTGTTTCTGAAACTAGGGGATTGAGACTGTGTTTTAAAGCCAGGTATGAGTGCATTGCCTAATCTTGTAGCTGTGAAATTATGGGAAAGGAGCCAAGAGCCCTGTAAGAGTTTACTGTCAAATCAGCAAGAAGACTCAGATTAAAAAAAATTAAAGTTTTAAGGAGGTTTCAACGTTAGAAAACGTTTCTCTTCAATGAGTAAGAATTTATTTCATCATCTCTGGAAATACTTGCTTTTCCCAAAACTCTGTAACCAAGAGACAGAATAGACAGTGGGAATTATCCAGAGTGTGGTATATAGAAGCTGGTTGGTAAATAGGATGGTGATGGCTCATTGATCCTGAATTCTTCTACTGTTTGTTTATTTGTTTGTTTGTTTATTGATGAACAAGAATATACTTTTCATTTTGTTTTGGCTTGTCTTTCTAAGAGCAAGATAAATGTCAAGTTTTAGAAAGACAGACCCACCTTTAATATTAATCATTACTAGGGAAACACCGTTAGTGCCTCAGCCAACTACCTAATAGCATTTTAATCTGCAGGAGAGCATTTTAGAAAGGATCTGTAATTGAAGACTTGGCGGTGCTGATGACGTGTTTTAAAAGAAAGAAATGGATGTAATGTTTTTATAGTAATACTAATGTGTCAGAATTCTGGAAAGATTCTTGTGATTTTTCTTACCTACTGACTGTCTTAATGCTAGTATATCATCAACAAAATAATGCTAGCCACATTGAGTAAAAGTGACATTATAGTATTTATCCTGAACTTATTCTTTAACTATAGAATAATAGAAGAGCAGAATATTAAGGTTGTAAATATTACATTTACAATGTAAACATTGTAAACACATACTAAGCAATGAAGGTCAATGTTTTTTTTTTCTCATTGATTATTCTAGTAGCTTATTCTTACAAGTTAATTTTGTTCTGCCACACACTAAAAAGGTGAAAGATAGAAAATTACTTCTTATTTTCTGTTTCTGTTTGCAGGGGCAGATGTTGAAAGGAATGGGAGGTGCTATGGATCTAGTGTCCAGTATCCAAACCAGAGTGGTGGTTACCATGGAGCATTCCACAAAGGTAACATGTGCCGCTTTTGAAATTTCACAATATGCCAAAATCCAGTACACCAGGTCACATGACCATGGTTTTTATTGTTTTCTCTGGCTATTCAAGTTGATGGCATTTATATTTTTGAGAAAAAGATTACAAATAAAGGCAGTTATCTATTATGATTTAGCTGAATAGTTGTTTTACTTTGTGTGAAGCCAACATCAAGGCATGCTTTGATTATTTGCCTTGGGTTCACATTAAAAGTAAAAGCTATAATGTCTTCAAAAGCAATGAAAAGATTTCAAGGCAGATGTGTTGATTCAGATTTAAAGATGATTATAGTGGTTACTGTCTGTGTGAAAAATGGAAACTACAACAGAATACAGGTTTTTAATACAATGTAGTTATTTCCAAATGGACAGTATTGCCTTTTACCAAGTCTGTGAGGTGCCATTTCGAGAAGGTGTGAGACAAGTGTGGACTTGGTGATAGCAAGCATCCTTATTCTGAAAAATATACTTTTATTTTAATAAATTATCAAATATTTATTGAGTGCCCATTACGTGGCAGGTACTACTAGGATCTGGCAGAGACCAAAACTAGACAAAAATTGTTGACCTCACAGAACTTTCATTTAATGATGATGATTATTGGCAACAGCTTCCATTTATTGAGCTTATTGAGTGCCAACAGCACAGGAAGCACTTGTGTTTGTGTACACAAGTACCTGAACTTCATCATAGGTATCTTTTATGGTCCAGAAACAGTTTCAGACAGGTTAAGTACTTGCCTGAGGTCACATAACTAGGAAAACTGAGATTGGAACTGTGGGTGGTCTCTGACTCCAAAGCCTGGTCTTCTGACTGCGGAGCTATCAGTATAACTTTCTTCCTTGTTCTTGGGTCAGTTTCTTTGAATTAGCTGAGCTTAATTGCCTTCCTGACCTGAATCCATGGGCTTCTGATGATTTGAAAATTGATATTGGGTGGTACCCTCTTCATTTTCTATGCCCTTTGTTCATTCTCCTTTATTCTCTATAATTCTTAATTTTAAAACAAAATCAACTTGTTCACACCTTGAGAATTGCTGTTTTGAGTGGAAGTGGTAGTTTGTTGGCCCTGTTTTTATTTAGCAATGCAGCATTGTGGGAGAGCATTGCTGGAAGATGTGCATCTGACTTGCTTCCCATGGGGGCGTTCTGTTACAGAGTGCTGTGTGCCATGAAACAGTTTTGTTGTTAAAACTAATAAATGAAATTATCATAAATTGTTTAGTAAACAGTGGAAAGTGAGCAGTAGAGCATAAATATGGAACAGTGGAAATGAAACCAACACAGGTGACTTCTGAGAGATACCTTGCAAAAGCATTCAAAATTCTTCATTTCAGAGGCAAATGGATGCCAAGCATGCAAATCAAGTCCAAATCTTTTCTGGAACGTAATGTCTATTTGGGCAAAACTCGCTCCAACTTTCCTTTTGTTGTTACTTTAACGTTGATGCATAGGCACTGAAATCTGACTTATTTCAGATTATTTGTGTGCATTCATTTTCAAAACATTAAGCCTGTATTTAGCAAATTCTCTCCCCCTCCACCCCCTCAAAATTTTTTCTCTCTCCTCAGCTGGAATTTTTAATAGAAGAAATCACGCTTCAAATTTCTGATCAGAAATCATTTATTAAAGCTTTTCACAGAAGCCAGATATTTTAAACATTTCTCCTCTTTCTTCTCTCAGCGGGGAAATGCATTGAGTTTTAGACTAGAATTAAAGTTAGATATTTTTTCCCTGAATACTTTCATTTGAATAAACTAACAAAAATATTTTTGTGATTAAAATAATAATAGTGATTTATTCATACTTAATCGTTAGATAACCTTGAAAACTAACCAAAAGAGGTTTCTCTTCTTGCCACTTTACTTTTTACCCGTGGTCCCAGAATGTGTGGTTGCTACTATATATTGTTCATCTGGACTCATTGTTACTGGCCCAGTGCAAGGCAACATGGGGACCTCACTACTTTTTTTCTGTGTCTTTTACTTTGGCTGAAGACTGGTAGGGGCTGAAAAGGAGATAAGAGAGAGAGAAGTCATACAGCATGATTTTCATTTAACCTTCGACATCAGGATTCCAGCCAAAATTGCGAAGTAGGCAAAGATTTTTGGTGTCCAGCCACCTTCTTTCTTGAGTTTCTGTTCACCTCTTGGTATGTCCTCCTTCTGCCCTCTAAAAATGGGAAGAAAACAAACAAAATGAGTAGTAGTTTGAGTCTTTACTAGGTACAAGGCCCTGTGCTTGGCATCGTACATACTGGATCTCATTATGTCTCAGTGACCTTCTGAAGTAAGACTGGGATGTAGGCAGGTAAGAAACTTGTCTGGGTAAATGGAAGAGCTAGGGGTCTCACTCAGTTTGGTGCAGCCTATGTTCACCATACCATACCAGAGCTGCCTCTGCAGCAGCATCCCACCAACACCTGCTGTTTTTTCTTAAGCTTCAGGTTTCAGAATTGTATCTTTTTCTTTTCTCATTTTGCCTAATCAAAGCTGTCCTTGCTTTGGAGAGATAGGTCTCAGCAGAATACTTACAAGAAAGAAAACAATCTGAGAATCTAATTGTGCCCCTTAGTATCTATCTGCCCTTCTTCCTTTTTGTATTAGAATCCTCCACGTTTTGCCTGGGCACATACTAGCCCAGTGATAGACTGCATTTCCCAGACTTCCTTGCATGTAGATGTATCCATGTGACCAAGTTTGAATCAGCGGGATTTGAGCATTTGCCATGTGTGTAATTTCTGAGTCATGTCCTTAGACATAAAACCAATTTCACCAGACTTTCTTTGTGCCCTTTCTGACCGTCTGAGAAAAAAAGGCTTAACTGATGCAGTAGCCTTGAACCCAAAGTTGTGAGCCATGTTTATTCCTAGGCTTACAGAGCTGTCCCACCAACCTGGATCCCTGGGTGCCCAAGTCCCCTTCTTCATAGGTTCTTGCCAGGACTCTCCATAACTCTATCCTTGGCTCTCTCTTCTTCTCCCCATCTATATCTTTCTTGGGTGTTATCTAAATTTTGTACCAACAATTATTTTTCACTCAGTGGCTCCCTAATCCTTATTTTCACACTGGAATTCCACATGGAATTCTCTGATGAGCTCTAGAACTGTGTTTCTTCCTTATTAGACAACTCCACTTGGTTGTTCCATACCCACTTCAACTGTAACACATACATAGTGAAATCATTATCATTTCCCCCAAAAATCCTTGTGCTTCTGCTTAGCCCAGCTAGAGAAGTGATCTCCCAGCCGCCATCTGGAAAGGAACCCATGATACTTTTGCCCCACCCCTGTACCAAGCATGGTAAATATTGCATCCACAATACCCCTGTAATCTGCTCCCTCCTGTATATTTCTGCTCTCCTTGTTTAAGTTCTTCTCACATCTGCATGGATCCCTGCAGTGTCCAAAAGATTCCCTTACTGCCAGACTGACCCTCTTTCCTGGCAATTAGGTACACCATTGACAGAGTAACCAGTCTAAAACTAAAGCTAGATTAAGTCCTCGCTACTTAGTTTACTTTAGTCCACTAGCCTTTTGTCATCAGCTCCCAGTAGCCTACCTCATTCTTGATCCCAGACTTTCAGTTCTAGGATCTCCACAAATACATCCGGTTGTTTCTTTATTCTGTTCCCTTTCCATTTTTATCTGGCTCACTGCAACCTCTATATAATCATATATAAGTGAGCCAGCACTTTATGGATTTGCTGGCTTAGTGCTCTCCATCTCTAGATATTATGAATGTTCAAGTGAATAGTCTTTGATGCTTTCTCTTGAAATTTGGCAGAATTATCTTATATAAGTATGTTAATTTACTTGTTTATGCAGGCATAAAATATTCATTGAGGACCAGGCACCATATGCCGGGCACCATGATAGGATCTGAGGAAATAAATAAATGGAAAAACATAGTCCTTTAAGCAGCTCAGAGTCTCATGGGGATAGAGTCATAAAAATCAATACTTAAAATAGAAAAGTGTACAAAGCACAGTACACAGAGTCAAGCATCCAATTTCTTTATAAGGAAGCTTCCTGTAGGATGTAGCATTCACGTGGAGATCTGAAGGACAGGCCAGAGTTTGACAGGGACTAGAGTATTGCAGGTCGAGGGAATGGACACTGGAATGTAGGAAGGCAGTGCACGCTGAGGGATTTACAATTAGGTCTCTGTTGTCAAAGGGGAGAAGAGTTGAGTGGAAACACACACACACACACACACACACACACACACACACACACAGTGTGTTCTCCACACAGTGGCCAGAATGATTTTTTAAAAATATAAATCAATCACATCACTTCTTCTTCATCTTAGAAATCCTCCATGGCTTTCCATGTCACCTAAATTCAAGCTCAAAGTCCTTGCCATTATCTCTAAGGCCCTCTATGGTCAGCTGACTCCAACCCCACTATCTCTCTGATTCCATATACTGCCATTCTCCCTCTTGACCTCTGAGTTCCAGCCATTCTCTGTCCCTGTAAGTTTCTGGTACATTCCAAGCATCCTCCTGCTGCAGGGCCCTTGCATTTGTCATTCACTCTGCCTGGAATGTTCCTCCTCAGACATCCACGTGACTCGCTCCCTCAGCTCACTCAGGTCTCTGCTCAAAACAACAGAGAAGCTTAACCTGACTTCTCTATTATGTAAAACAGAAGTCTCTCCACTCCCGATGATCCTTAATCCCTCTTCTTCACTAGAATGTAAGTTCCATGAGGGCAGGGGCTCATGTATCTGTCATAACAACTGAAGAGAATCATACTTGATGCACATTAGGACTCAATAAATACTTGTTGAACTGATTAATTCTTCAAATAACAATGATACTTTGAACATATAGGGCACTTTTAACTTTTTCCAAGCAGTTACGTGTTTACTGCCATATATTATAACAGTACTTTTCTGAGAAAGGTCTTATTGTTTCCCTTTGAAAGACAAACCAAATTTCATAGAGGTTAAATATTCTGATAAAATTTAAGTGG